TAGTATAAAGGCTGATTTAGAGTTGCCCACAACTTCCTCTAGGGGTCGCCACATATCTATGCTCCGAAGGGGTTGATGGGTAAGCATAGGTTGCACACCTCCCAAATTGCAACTGCATGTTGTTAATTTGACTTCCTGATCTATGTTTTGCTTTTTGAGTGCCCTCTAGCCAGAATGTTACATTTGCAGAAATATAAATGGAACACCTATGCAACCATCCCCAAACGACAGATGCATATGTTTCCTGACATGCAGTGATGAAGAAATCTGTTCTACCATTAAATTTGGTGCATAAAATATTGTTTGTTTGCTTTGAATTTATAAATCATTTACCTTAGTTCAATGGTAATGATAGAATAACTTAGGTATATCCTTCACATCAAATATGTTTACATATTTCTCTGCAATACATCTTTCTCTGCTTTTTCTGATCTAAAACAGAAGTCCCCAACCTTTTGGTTACCAGGGACTGGTTACGTGGAGAGAGGTTTTTCCACAGACCAGAGGGGGCATGATTTCATGTACTGCCTGCATTCCGCAGATGGGGCTTTGCTTGTTTGCGTGGACCGGTTGCTGGCATGCTGCAGCCATGGACCAGGGGTTGGGGATCCCTGATCTAAAAGGTCCCAAGTGCAGTAATTTTTCTTCCCAGATGAGTTGTTCTTTGTAATAATCTTAGTTACTTTTCTCTGCCACATTTTACAGTATAAATAACACCAAGATAGAATAATTAGAACTATATAACTTATATATGGGGGTTTGATATGGATATTTTTAGTATTTATTTCTTTTCCAAAAGTTCTAAAGGACTTTTTCCCAAATAGCTGTACATTGAGTCAATGTTTTCATTATCAAATAAAACAAAATTATCTACTCTAGATTGTTTTTCTAAAGTTATCCCAACATGGAGTGCTAATAAATGCATAGTTAAGTGATTCTAAATTAGTTAGATAGCAGCCAACTATAGGTAGTCCTTGAGTTATAATGGAGCCTGCACATCATAGTCTTAATTCGTGATGGTCATAAATATGGTCACTCATGTGACCAATCTGATTCTGCAATCTTTCTTGAGGCTTGAGGTCATTAAGGGACATTGGAGGTCTTCTAGCCCAACCCCCTGCTCAGGAAGGAAACCCTATACCATTTCAGACAAATAGTTGTCCAATCTCTTCTTAAAAACTTTCGGTGTTGGAGTAGGTTGTTCCACTGATTAATTGTTCTGACTGTCAGGAAATTTCTCCGTTCTAGGTTGGTTCTTTCCTTGATTAGTTTCCATCCATTGCTTCTTGTCCTGCCTTCAGGTGCTTTGGAGAATAGCTTGACTCCCTCTTCTTTGTGGCAACCCCTGATATATTGGAACACTGCTATCATGTCACCCCTAGTGCATTTTTTCATTAAACTAGACATACCCAATTCCAGCAATCGTTCTGTATATGTTTTAGCCCTCAGTCCCCTAATCATCTTTGTTGCTCTTCTCTGCACTCTTTCTAGAGTCTCAACATCTTTTTTACATCGTGATGACCAAAACTGGATGCAGTATTCCAAGTGTGGCCTTAGAAAGGCATTGTAAAGTGGTATTAACACTTCATGTGATCTTGACTCTATCCCTCTGTTAATGCAGCCTAGCACTGTGTTGGCTTTTTTGGCAGCTGCAGCATACTGCTGGATCATATTTAAGTGATTGTCCACTAGGACTCTGAGATCCCTTTCACAGTTACTACTATTGAGCCAGGTACCACCTATACTATACCTGTGCATGTTGTTTTTCTTGCTTAAATGTGGAGCTTTACTTTTTTCACTGTTCAAGTCTGTCAAGATCCTCCTGTATCTTAAGCCTATCTTCTGGAGTGTTGGCTATTCCTGCCAGCTTGGTGTCATCTGCAAATTTGATGAGTTACCCATCTATCCCCTCATCCAAATCATTGATGAAGATGTTCAAGAGCACTGGGCCCAGAACAGAACACTGGGGCACCCCACTGCATAGATGGTCACATGATCCTTGGACACTGCAAACACTGTAAATGCAGACCAGTTGCTGAGCACCCAAAGTGCAGTCACATGACTATGGAGTGGGAACAGCTGTTGGAATTTTGAATCTGGGTCTTAAATACCCCCAGGGTACTTTGTTGTAACTTTGAATGTTTGCTAAGCAACTGGTCATAAGTTGAGGACTATCGGTAACCACTCAATAAACCTATCAGAGATTGACTGATTGGTCCTTCAGTAGGAGATCATGGAACTCTGAGGACCAGTGGTGGGATTCAGTCAGTTCGTCCCACTTTGGCAGAACCGGTAGCTAATTTTTTGTTGCCTAGGTCCAGAATGGACTTCCAGAAGCGGCATCCACATAGAGAACTGGTTGTTCACATATTTGAATCCCACCACTGCTGAGGACCATATAATAGATTGGAAAATTAAGGGGGGAAAATCCCAGATGACAATAGCAAAATACAAAAAAACTCAGGCAAAATTTTAGTGTGCCAAACAAATTCTTCATTATACCACGGTGTCTTGATTGTAGCAGTGCATGTCTAATCCATATATTGGAATGTGAAGAATCATCTCAAGCATGAATGCAATACCCCAAACATACTCCTGAGTGTAGTAAAGTCTTTCTATAGATTGCCTAGGTTTATAGAGTCTTAGAAATGTCTTTATTGTTAGCAATACATCTTCAGAAGAAAAGTTTGGCCAAAAAGTTCAACTTCTAATCTTATTGGTTGCCTCCTTGAGTTAATTTAAAATTTGCTTGGATGTGGTTGTTTTTTTTAGCACTCTAGTCATCTAATTCTTCACTTTAAACTCAAGGTTGTTTTCCAGATAGACACTGCAGAAACGTAACTTAAAATTTGCTTAGATGTGGTTTTGTTTTAGCACTCTAGTCATCTAATTCTTCACTCTAAACTCAAGGCTGTTTTCCAGATCAGACACTGCAGGAAAAAAAAATCAAATGAAGTTGGTTTTTTTACATGTGGGTATTCGTTTATACTGAGCCTCTTTTACAATTTGAATGCCCATTTCCTCAATTACAAATGTATTTTAATAACTTGTGTGCTTACCCTAAATTAAAGTAATTATAAATAGCAAAAAAAACCACAAAAAACCAAAACAAAACAAAACCTACACAACACAGCGCACTAGACCATTCCATGGAAATTGTTTGAAAAAATTATCACCATCCATATGAATGCCAGTGATTATTCTTGCATTGTACCAAATTATTGGTACTGCCTGCGAATTGATGGCCTTGATTATGTTTCCATCATTCCGTTATTATTATTTCAACATTACAGTTTTCCTTCCTCAGAGGAGAGAAAAGCCATTGTGGAATGCCTTGAGTTGGTCCTGACAATTCCCATTATTCATATTCATATTATTCTAGCATTTGAGAGACAAGAAAATTTCAAATATCACAAATACATTTGCAAATCATGAATAATAATTTATTTCACTGCCACAGAAGAAAATATTGAGAAATTCCCTTTCTTTTGGGAAGGAAGCCTTGCTTGCCAGTTTAACAGTTCACTTATTCTGAAGCAAGACATATGACATGAGAATCTGAAAACCTGAGGGCAAGAAGAGAACATAAGAGCCTATTAGTTGTGCATGTCCTGCCCATGACTTTATTAAATATTTTACTCTTTGATTCTGGTGGGGTTTGCCATTGTTTTGTCTCTCCTTCCTTCCTTCCCTCCCACCTATCTACGAAAGTAGATAGAAAATGTTGAAACACAGCCCCAAACAGCCCAGGATTAGATTGAGGTTGCTACCTTCAAATGGCAGCTGCCCTGGGGACTTCAGCCATTTCCCCCTGCTGTTAAAGAGCCAGAAATAAGCAGACAGTTCTCTGGCATCCGACTTAAACTGCTTACAGCCTGACCTTCACCTGTACAGAAGTGTTGCTTCTACTATGTCCTATCAAGCCAGCTGAAAGGAATTACTGGAGTTGCCAGGTAACCAAACCTAGCCCTCTTGACATATGAGCCAGTTATTAACCTGAACATTTGAGTAGTCTGGCTCCTCAGTTAAATAACAAGTAAAAGGTACTTATCATTTACAGTGATGTGGCATTAGCTTTACCTGTATATCAGACATAGGCTCTATCTTCAATGTCAGAAAAGAGCAGAGTTTTACTAGGAAGACAGTCAAACAGGACAGATGGTGATACCGTTTAATCAGCTTTGCTGAAGGCTAAAAGGAGCTGCGTGAAATGGACAATTGGGGTAAGACACAAAATACTTTGCAAATTTAAAGTTGTATGTTTCTACCTTTAACTTTTTGAGTTTCTTTTTAAAATGGATTAGGTACACATTTATAAATAGATTGCTAGCTGCTTTGCTTGTCGCGGCATAAATCCAATTATTAAATACTGTATAGCTGAAGTGTCTGCATATTTCAGATACAGAACTGATAAAGCTGTGAAGTAACTAAGTGAGTTTTAGTGGCTCTACAGCTGGAATCAGAAGAGTTTTTAATGTACAGCAGAATGTGAAGTTGTTTCAGATATTCATGGAACATTTCAATTTAAAAATATTCTATCGTCTCTCTTAAAACAATCCTGCTGTACTGATAAATAAGGAAGTTGCATGCTATCTGTTTGTCTTAGACAGCCATGCCACCTCATTTACATGGTGTTATTACCATACAGTATAAGTCAAGAGATATACTATTGTAGTGAATATGTCAAGATTTGCAAGTGACTTTTCAGTTTCAATTGGTTTTCCCTCCCTGACAGATCTAGGTCAGTCTGGCCTGAATTGTATGTATATCTGTTTATGGTATAAAGCACCAATTCCCTTTAAATATTTTTGTATTATTTCTAGGTATTACCGTTCTCCAAGTATATGTCACTCGACTTAAGAAACTCAAACACTGTCAGAATTTCAAATTAAGGAGAAATGCTGCATCATCTCTCAACTAGCTGCCCAAGGGCATTTCTACTGATTCAGTCGTCATTATTTATTTAGGGTGCCTTATCAAGAAGCAGCCTGCCTATAAACATGATTTGCCTGGTTCTGCACTGTGGTTTCCTGCTTCATGCCATTGAAACATCCATCACCGTTTATTATATAACCTTACCTCTCGCCAGTTCACAGGGACATTTCCCAAGTCTTGAAAATGTGGGTGCTTTCAAGAACATTTCCACTGTGCCAACCCAAGCTACCTGTGGACTGCCAGAAAGGAGTACTTTTTGTCAAAGTTCAGCTGTTGTTGAAAGTATTAACTTCTGTATTCGGCAATTTTGCATTCAGAAGTGTCCGTATAGATCATCTCCTGCTTCCTATGCTGCCATTCTCTCAGAAGGCCTGGGCAATGTTATCCAGCAAGATCAAAATGATGTGCCTCCTGGATCTTTTAGCAACACAAGTATTATTTTTCATGGTGAAAAGGATTGTTTTTCCACTCCTCGTCCTCGGAAGCTTGCTATTTCATTTACTTTAACTGTATGGTTGAAACCTGAGAAAGAAGGTGTAATGTAAGTAGCTGACAGATGGTTACTCAACCAGTAAAATCAAACATGATAATGGACAGAATTTCTTTTTTGGGAGGGTCACATAAAGCAAATGGCACTCTAATGTTATAACTCTGATTTTATGTAAACTTAGAAATACTTCTTGACTGTTTCACTTTAGGCAACATTTGTGGATTACTTATTTGATTGCACTACATGCCTGCTATTCTTTTTCTTGCTAATTATCAAACTTCATTTATGAACTACTGTTATCATTTCTATTTTAAATAGCAGGTATGATGTTGAATGAAGGAGAACTAGTTAGTCAATAGGTAGCCATGGAAGCTCACTTGTAGTAGCTTAATCCAGGTAACACCTGCCTCAGTCAAAATTACTTTTTGGTGATTTAAGCAGCTGTTTACATTTCCTAGAAGTATTTGGGGACTATGGTCTCTCTCCCTCTTCAATGCTGAGTGTTTATGATGCTCAGTTTATGGCTGCTGCATTCATTGTGGCAGGTGGAAATGGCTATTGTAGTGGATGGGAACTTTTTCTATGAGCAGATAGGGAATAGATATAATTTGGCCATGGAAATCCTTGGCCTAACAAAATAGTAACCAGCTAAATATAATGGAATATAGATTTAAGATCAATATTCTCAGTTGTGCACAATAACCACCTTGGACTAATTATTTTGAGCTTTTGCCTTCTGCATTATTATTTAGTGTTGTTACAACTCATTCATCTTTCCTATAATCTAAGAATATGGTGTTCTTTATCATTCATTTATTCATTACATAAAATAGGACACTGTCACATTTATTTCCTGTTGAGAAGTTTGATCAGTAATCATCATCTTGTGTCCTGTTTTGGAATGTGGATATGAGGGAACATTATGTGCAACATGGACTAGGTGGAATGGGCAGACAGCTTTACAGTGACTGAGTCCAGAAGTTGATCTCTAGTAATATGAGACATGATAGAATCAGATTTGGGATGTCTCGTGCATTTTGGTGTCAGAGCAGTAATAGATTAACATAATTATCTTTGTATGAATTGCTTCCTTCTTGTTGTTGTTAGTTGCGAAGTCATGTCTGACCCATCGCTACCCCATGGACAATGTTCCTCCAGGCCTTCCTGTCCTCTACCATCTTCTGGAGTCCATTTAAGCTCACGCCTACTGCTTCAGCGACTTCATCCAGACACCTCATTCTCTGTCGTCCCCTTCTTCTATTGCCCTCAATCTTTCCCAGCATTAGGCTCTTCTCCAGTGAGTCCTTCCTTCTCATTAGGTGGCCAAAATACTTGAGTTTCAACTTCAGGATCTGGCCTTCTAAAGAGCAGTCAAGATTGATCTCCTCTAGGACTGACCAGTTTGATCGCCTTGCAGTCCAGGGGACTCGTAGGAGTCTTCTCCAGCACCATAGTTCAAAGGCCTCAATTCTTTTGCGCTCAGCCTTTCTTATGGTCCAACTTTCACAGCCATCCATTCCCTGACAGTGTAGATGAGGAAATGTTTTAACTGTTGCTCTGTGCTCATGGATAGTAGAAGATTAGATACTTACTTTGTCTCATCCACAGAGGCCTATGTGTTTCAGTTTGCATGCTTGTGTTCCTACCTGTGTGCATTTTACAAGGAAGGACAGTTTTTGATTAAAGCCAGCTTTTAGAGTGAATATCCAGAGATAGACTAAGGAAAAAATTAGCTTATTTCTCAATTGATTGATAAATCCTTTTGTTGATTAAGAAGTTGTTGGTTCTTTATAGCTCCTTATATCAGGGGTGTCAAACTGCTGGCCCATGGGCCGGACGCATCATGCAGAAGCCGCGCCCACCCCATTGCCGGCAATGACAAAACTGCCCCGATACATTGTGCAACGTCACGTGACGTCGCAAGTTTGACATGTCTGCCTTAGAGCATCAGACATTCAATCTCTATTCAAAAAGTGATGCATCAAGAACGTTTTTGAAGTTTAATATTAATTCTCTGTGTAGGCCATGACAAACATGAGTTTCACTCAATGTTTGACCATAAGGACTGCTTCAGTTCTCTTATGTGGTGACTATATCTTCTGTACAATGCACCTGGGACCAAAGCAAACCCTCTGGACTTTTTCCTTGTAGAAAGGAAAGGTTTGTCAAGTATGACAAAATGAAAGTAATGATTGTCTCCAAAATTCCTGTCACATTTCCCCATTCCTATTTCAGTGCCTTCACCACTAGACTAAACTAGCTGTCTGTGTTTACAGGATAGTTGTTTGTCACCATGGGAGACAGGTATAGATTGTAATATAACATTTTACTCTTTATTAGCTCAGTATTTGACCTTGATTTGCCTCAAAAGAGCCTTGACATTGCTGAAGCAATGCACTCTTGATAGCAATATTCACAAGATTTTTCTCCACTTTGTATAGTGCATGTTTGGAAGCTCTCTCTCCCATGCTACGTATCTAGCCAATACCATATATGTAATTCATAAGAGAATCCTTACACTCCTTACATTATGACAGGCATGTCAAACTGCCTGCCCACGGGCCAGATGTGCCACGCCAAAACCGCGCCCACCCCATTGCCGGTAATGGGGATGTCATGTGATGTTGCAAGTTTGACATACCTGCATTATGATGTTCTTCTGCCTTTGTTACTGGAGAGAAAGTTTAATAATAATCCCAGGCATGGGTGACCATATACCTGCTCATTGTGGGAAATAGTATCAGTCTCAGAGATGTTTTTAGGTGACCCATTCTACTTGAGTTAGTGTTCCTTATTAGCAAATACAGTATAGCAAATGAACAAAATGTTTTTCTTTTCTTAGTCAACAATCATCGTAATTTTCAGAAGGGTTGCCCAATTCTGCTCTATCATTATTGCCATTTAATGTTCACTTGTTTTTTTATAAACTTGTTTAATAATTTTATATCTTTTCATGTATTTTTTGTCTACAAGTGCCTGCAAAGCATCAACATGCTATTTTGTTATCCTCTTGTTGATTGTAAACCAAGTAAATTCTATATGGATCTGTGTGGAAGTGCCTGTAAATGGGGGGAGGGGGATTTGTGAATGGAAGACTGCAGCATAAATGAGAGTGAAGAATCTGTGCAGCTGATCCTGGGGTCCACATTGAGTGGGCACCCTAATGTGTTTTGAATTTCAGAGCCATAGCTATGCTTAAATGATTTAATTGGAAGCAAACTGAATTGTGTATGAATGTTTTTAAAGCTTAGGTATAAAAGACTCTAATAAGGTGTTTTTTTTTAAATTATTTGCTGACTGTTGAGGCTTTATAGGACAAGAAGTGTTTTATCCTGTAGCCAGTTAGTGAGAGGGAGACATTGGTAATAAATTCTATAACATCCAGCTTGAATGGCCCCATTTCTTAATATTTCTTAACATAACCATGATTTCTCAACCTAATCAAGTTGTTATAATAGGGATACAACTGGAAAACAAATTCTATGTATAGCCCTTGAACATTTGAACAAATGGAGAGATGTAGATCCAATAGATAAATAACAACATTTAATACTTTAATTTGAAACTTGTATTTAAATAAAAGGTTGAATTTTCATAAATTGGCACTACATTAGTACAGAAGTTAAGGCTACTTAAGTTACATTATGTTAACTATTAGTTGCAATCCTATATTCAAAATTTATTATCAAATTTCAGGTATGCATGACAAGTTTGATAGCTAAAATAGATGGAATCTAGGTGAGGCATATATTTAATACTGCTTTACTCTCAAACAGTGTCCTCTGTCAGGAGATGCTTTTTATTGCTATTGTAAATTGTATTGTTTTTATTTGTAATTAAAAGAACTTGTGTTTTTGGGAGATGTGTATTTACCAAGTCCCTTACTTGCCATAGAATTCAATGATTCAACAACCCAATGGTTAGCAAAGAGACTAAATTTAATAAATAGAAAGCATTTCCTAGGCAGTTGTTAACTTTCTACACTTATTTACATTTTTGATGTATCGATGTTCTGATTTTAAAGCAATATAGAAACAGAAAAATGAATGATGTATTTAAAGTAATTAACCATATAAAGAATGGGGATAATCCTGTTGGCCCTTAAAGAGGCAATAGTGCGCTCTCTTCTCAAGGACCCATTACTTGGTCAAGCAGTCTGGACAATTCTCATCCAGTCTTCAAACTTCTCATTTTGATGAGGTTGTGGAGAATGTGGTGGTCAAACTGCACCTTCAGAGGGCTATGGATTAACAGATTATATGGATCCCTTTCAGTTAGGATTCAGACTTGGACATGTGATCAGGATGGTACTGATTTGGTGAAAGTGGGATGGGGGTGGTGCATCCATTTTTATTCTTCTTGACCTCTCAATAGCTTTCAATACTACCAATCATAGTATCCTTTTGGACTGACTCTGGAAGTTAGGCTAGGTGGAACTATGTTGTGCTGTTTCTCTTCCTTCCTTTAGGGCTGGTTCCAATCAGTGTTGATGGGGAAAAGATTCAGATCATAGCCTCTAATTTTGGGGTGACATAGGGCTTGATTTATGTTCTTGTGACCTTCCATCTGGATTACTTTAATGCACTGTATGAGGGTCTTTCCTTGAAGAGTATTCAGCAGCTTCAACTGATGCAGAATGCAGCAGCAGGGGTAGTAAATGTGACAACATACTTCATGAGTTGCATTGGTTGCCCATGTGCTTCTGAATGAAATTCAAGGTGCTGGTTGCCATATTTCAAGCCTTTCCATGGTTTGGGACCTGAGAACTTAAGGAGCCATTTTGTCCCTTAAATTGTTTCTACCTGTCTGATCCAGGCCAGCAGGACTGGCATGCTCCAGGTGCTGCAGGCTAAGAAATATTCACCAAAAGGTCAGAAGACAAGTTTTTTCTACGATAGTACTAGAACATTGCCCCATGCTGGTCTTTTGTAATGCCCCAAAGTCCTAGTTTTGTGTCCAGACTTTTAACCCCACATGTGTGAAGGCATCCATCTCCTGGTTGTGTTAGTTACTGATGTATATCTCTTGGCTATGTATTTTAATTTTTGTAAATGTCATGTCATTGTTTTTATTTTTAAGATTGTTCCATACCCAGAGTAATTTGCTGAGATGGGAGAAGGGGAAGGATGGAAGGAAGGACGGACAGATGGAAGGAAAGAAGGATGGATGGAAGGAAGGAAATATAATTCAGTGGTCCACGGAAGGCATTGGATTTATGTAGGGTCCTGCTATGTGTATAGAGAAAGCTTTCATGAAAATAATTGCACTATCGAAGGGCTTCTCCTTGTTATAATGAAGCCTCCACTACCATTGTCTTCTGTCATAGGTGTTCCACAAGTGTTAAGAATTAAAATGGAATTATGGATGGCCAGAGTGAAAAGAATCAATCAATGCTGTTTCTGCCTTCATCACCATAAAAATGACTGGACTTGGATAGGACAGAGACATTCTAGTAGATCTAGTTATTAATTTTAGAATTTCTAACTATAAAATATGCATGGATATATTCATATAATTAGCAGATGCCAAGCTGGATTTGAATGAGAATTAATGCTTAGTACAGTAATTGAACAGGATGGATTTTTTTTTCATTTTTTTAAAAAGCAAACTAGGACAATAATGCACATCTTAATATGGCTAGGAAGGTCTTCCCTTCCTATCATACCTTGATATGAAGTCAAATTTTTCTTAAAAGGTTTACTGTCATTGTTGTAGTTATGTTTTGTCAAGATTGACATACTTTCAACAGATGGGAAATTAGTTGTAAATCATATATTTGTGAAAACTTTATGGATTTTAAAGTATTATACATCAGGGTCACATCCTTTGTTAAAGGTAGGACACTTGTTAGGGTCCACATATGGAGATATTTGTTTTTAGATAAGCAAAATTAATAAACTTTGGATTATCCAATTATTGTTTATCCAGGAACTGAATAAATCCAG